AACCTCTTTAGCTCTACCTACCTCCGGATCATCCCTGTTTATGTGTACTTTCTGTGCTATTTCTAATAACTTACTCCTATTCTCTCCCTCAAATCCTTCTATCTTCTGAAGTTTCTTCCTAATGTCTGAAGCTGCCTGAGTCACAAAGGTGATGTTAACAAGTCTCCTATTTTCGTCCGCTTCAGGGTCTAAAGGGGTATATATCCTATAGGCCTCCATTAGCCTCTGGAGGAAAGCCGCTGGGGATTCTTCCCTCCCCTGAATGACCTCACTAACTTTACTAAAATTAGTTGGCTTCCTCGCTGCTGCCTTCAGCCCCCTAAGTAGAGCCCCGCGATACTGGAGTAGTGCATCCCTTCCCCCTGCAGTGTTGGGGTCCCAGGCTGGGGGTTGTGAGGGAAGGATGTCTTCCATTTCTCTTCTCCCTGCTGCCCTGTCTCCCTCCTCCCCCATTATGGCTTTTGCCGCCTCTCGATTAATTATATCAACCGGGGCAGCGCATCGGGCCCTGGTTGCACTTCCCGGAGGGGCAAAATGGCGGCCCTTCCCGCTGGCACCATACCTCCTCCTCCTCCGCCATATTGTGCTCCCCCTCATGTGTGCGGGGGACTGTTGGGCCCACTACTGTCCTGCCTCATCGAGTCTGGCTTCTCCCTGTGATGATATGGCGGAGGTGCATTAACTGGGTCCAAGGGGTCGTCGGGCTGCCCGGGCAGGACTGGGTAAAGTCGAGGTCCGGCCAGCGGCTGTTTTGTGGCCGGATCTTGACAAGGCCCCTCGGTTCCTCCTCGCTGGCCGTTTCCTGCAGCCAGGCAGACGGCTCTCCTCCCCCTCCGATTTCCCTGTATACATTGTCTAATATAACCTGGGCGCTCCGTGGCGACATCTACCCAGATATCAATATACACAAATTGATCAGGGTGGGGGACTCGGTAGACAGTGGCTCGAACAGCGAAGAGGTCGGGCAAATCAAAAGTGCCCTCGGTCGGCCAACCGACATTCGTTCAGGGTCCAGAGGAACTCGGGGTCTGGCGGTGGCCCACCATATCCCCTCACTCGTCTCTGAAAGTCTGAGAAGTTGTTCAGCAAGCAATCTAGTGGAGAGCCAGGCACGGATTCTCGCTGACCCATTTGTGCATGCCGAAAACCTCAGGGAGCTCGGAAACGAGAATGGTAACAACAAGGGTAGATACAAAGGCAAACAACAACACATACAATACACAGTCTCTCAACATAAAGCCTAACTCTGGTTCGCGGCGCAGTGCAGGGCAGAGGGAAACAAAACCTGATGTGACTGGTCACACTTTCTCAGAACTGAACTGAAACCAGATCCCGAGGGTGGCGTCCTGACCCTGGGATTCCTGGGTGGCCTACAGGCGCGTCCGCCTACCACCTCAGGCTGCCTTGCTCCGGAGCTCAGAAACCGAAATAGGATCCTCGCATTTACTTACTCAGCTCGAGCGGTCCTACTCATCTCCCACCCGAAACTCCCCAAGGGAAATCTCGCTGGGGCCTCCAAAATGTTGCATCTGCCGTCACGAGAAACAGGTTCGGAGACTTTCAGAATTTTCAAGATGTTATTTTATTAGCCAAGTTTTACCTGCGCAGGGGCGAGCTCTCTGAGTGTCCGAGGACACTATGCTCAGGAGAGCTGCAGATGAGAGCCATGCCCCGTCGCTTACAGCTATGTCCTTATATAGGGGTATGCAAGCAAGCTTTGAACAGAAGCAGATATGGCTGTTAGCTATTGGCTAGCTCTAAACAGCTGATTGCCATTGGCTTATTAGGGAAATTCAAAAGGCTCTTTGTGTAGCTGGCCGTTAGCCCTTTTAGGAAGTACAAATTTCCCTGTTCCTGGTCAGCCTAACTTTAGTTCCTGGTCAGCCTAACTTTATCCAGGGCTCGTTCAGGATTGTCCCTTTTCAACATCTGTTTTGTACCTCAACAGAGGGGTGGGGGTTGAGGACATCTTAATATTTCCTGGACTCCCTGTGCTCTGGATCCCATCCCAAATCCTTTTCTGCGGACCCCCTCTTGGCTGCGCCCTGTTAACAGTTTTTCAATTGAAGAGAGGTCAGTTAGTGAAAAAGGGACATGGACCCGAACAACACCTTCTGCTCCTGCCACTTCCCGGAGGGGGCAAATACGGGAGTCTAGGGGCTCTAGATTCAGGAGTGAGGGAGTATGTGAGCTGAATGGGGAAGAAAGGTCTTCTGAGGGAGGGGGAGAATCTGGTTGAGAGGGGAGGGCTGGGGCTGAAGTAGCCATTGGCGGGAGCTGATAGGAGGGGGAGAAGTAAGGGAAGCAAGATCTTGAGGGGAATCAGAAAAGGAGGAGGAAGGTTCTGGGGCAGTAGGCTTAGGAGGCCAGACTGGTTCAGGGTTCCCTTGGGCGAGGAGAACTTGGGCTGTGGAGCATTGGGCACACAGATCTGGGTTGGGAGCGCATGGCCCAAAAGCCCTGAATGTAGGGGACCTCAGACCATTTGCCAGTCCGTCTGCAAGTTATCTAGGTCAGTTAGGGTAACAAAATTAAAAGTGCCTCCAGGAGGCCAGGTTTCACGATTATCGAGCTGATATAACAGCGAGGTCATAGGGGATAGAAAAATCAGCTGTTTTCACCTGAGGCCAGGGTAAATTGCTGGCAAATCTTTCAGGAGGCACCCTAGAGGTGACTTAGGATCTGGCTTGGACTCCTGCCCTCCCACTCCTGGTCCCATGAGGAGCAGCAGATGGGAATCGGTGTCCCTCAACCTGATCTGCTGGTCCAGTTGGGTAAAAATGGGGGTCTGGGTCCAGGGACGTCTCCTCCAGTGCCCAGAACCTCTCAGCGGGGGAGGGTAGTCCCTGTCGGAGGGGTTACCCCGACGCAGAGCTGTGATTTTCGTGTGAGAGCAGTCTCTCTTAGCAGACGGGGGCCCGGAATCTGCATTTAGGGACCAGAAACTTAAAGGCATAGGCACCTACCCTGGTTCTTAGTTCAGACTGGTGGGGTGGCCGCCAGGCTTCCTCGGGGAGTGGGGAGAGGGGCAGTCTTCAGCAGACAACAGCTCCTCCTGGGTTTCAGCACCAAATGAAATGTTGTCTAGGCTCAGCCGAGGAAGAAATGCCAATCAGCCACAAAGTTAGGCAATATAGAGCCTTATTGGGGTTTGCGCACCCGGGCGAGGTTCCCTGATCCACAGAGTGGGGTCGGAGAAGTTGCCAGTGTGAATAGGGAAAATGACGGGGCTTTATTTTTGTTGGCTCCCCATGGGACCTGGGGATTGGTCCCCTCTGAACAAACCAGCAATCCATCATTGGTGGTTTTTTCCTGGGACTCAGGTTGCTACGCAGATATCCATTTTGGCAAAGCCAGCCCTTTCAGCTCTCTGGTTTTACGTCAGCCATCTTTTCCGGATTCTAGTCGGTCCACCATTTTGATTGTAGTCAGTCTGCCACTTTGATTGTCCGCCATTTTTATTTTAGTCCAGCCACCATTTTATCCTATCCTGCCCATCCTGACAAGGATGATGCTCGTTTTATAAAAGGAGTTTTGGAGTCTTCCCTCTTGGAGTTTTTGGAATAATTTGAGAAGGATAGTGGTTAGCTGTTACTTAAATATTGTGTAAAATTCTCCTGTGAATCCATCCATTCAAGAGCTTTTTTGTGCTGGGAGTTTTTTTTTATTACTGCTTCAATTTCATTTGTTATTGGTCTGTTCAGGCTTTCTGCTCCTTCTTGATTCAGTTTTGGAAGGCTGTATGTTCCTAGAAATTTGTTCATTTTACTCAAGTTTTCAAATTTCTTGGCATATAGTTGTTCATAGTAATTTCTTACAATCCTTTGTATTTCTGTGTTATTGATAGTAATTTCTCCTCTTTCATTTCTGATTTTATTTACTTGGTTCCTCTTTCTTTTTTTCTCAATGAGTCTGCATAAAGGCTTGTCGATTTTGTGTATCTTTTCAAAGAACCAGCTCCTGGATTTATTGATCTTTTGAATTGTTCTTAGTTTCTATGTCATTTAATTCTACTCTGATCTGGAATAGTTCTGTCTTTTAACTTTCTCTAGGCTTTGCTTTTTGTTGATTTTTTAGTTCTTTTACATGTAAGGTTAGGTCATTTATTTGAAATTTGTCTATCTTCCATATGTAGGCCTGTATTGCTATGAACTTCCCTCTCAGGAGTGCTTTTGCTGTGTCCCATAGGTTTTGGACTGTTGTATGTTCACTTTCATTTGTTTCCAGAAACTTTTTGATTTCTTCCATGATCTCATTAAACCATTCATTGTTTAATAACATGTTATTTAGTCTCCATGAATTTGACTTTTAGGTTTTTTTTTTTTTGAGGTTGGTTTCTAGTTTCAAGCCACTGTGGTCCAAGATAATGCTTGATATGATTTCATTTTTTAAAATTTGTTGAGCTTGTTTGTGTCCTATTTCACGTTCCATGTGCATTTTCCATGGACCATTTTAAAAATGTTCCATGTACATTTGAAAAACATGTGTATTTTGCTTTTGGGGGATGAAAGTTTATATATACAAAGTCCATTTGATCAATACCACAATTGTTCAATACCACAATATCCTTGTTGGTATTTTGTTTGGAAGATCTGTCCACCTTTGACAGTGCAGTGTTAAAATCCCCTAGTATAAGTGTGCTGTTGTCTATGTCTTTCTTGAAGTCCTCCAAAATTTGCCTTATATATTTGGGTGCTGGTATGTTGGGTACATATATGTTTACAATATTCATGTCTTCTTTATAAATTTTCCCTTGGGTATTATGAAGTGTCCTTCTGCTATTTATATACCTATAAATATATACCACATATTATATTATATCATATATATTATGTAATATATATTTAAGGTATGAAAAACTCAGGAATCCTGAGTTTTTTCTGGAATCTCAGGAAACATATCTACATGCTTTTTGCAAAAGCTAAAGAACTGACTTGTTATGAATTAAAACATTCCTCAATTTAATAGATCTCTGTCTTTTTTCATAAATAGATCCCAGAATGTCTTCTCCTACTAAAGGAGAAAGTGATCCAGCTGATAACATTCTCAAACATTCAGAAGATGAGGCTCCAAATGACTTTAGTATGGATAGAGAGACTGCTTTTGCTGAATCAGATATGATTGCTCAGGCTGAAAGCAACCCAATGGATCTGGAGCTAGACACAGCAAATGAGCAGGAGCACACTGTTCTTCAACCCACAGAGAATAACAAGCTTGAAGTAGAGAAGAATAAAGAGGAACCTCAAGAAGATTTAAAAGAAGATTCCCATCTAGTAGAGATTCCTAGTAAAGAGGTCTTTGCTATGTCAGGATTAGGGAGAGTTACCCCTCTGAATACACCACTAGCAAATACAAATGAAACTAATCCAATAACTCCCTCACCCAATAGACCAAGTTTCACATCAGGAAACACTCAGAGGGAAACTGGAAAGATCTATTATGTCAACATAAATTACAAAATCCCTTTCCAGTTTTCACTTTCTTGGAAAATACCATTTACTAACATTCATGAGAGGCGAAGAATGTTTCTTCGCATGGTGTGTGAGGGATATTTCTCTCACATTTTAGGCCATCGTAATACCATGCGGGTAAAGCCAAAATTTAGAGCACTTCTCATAGGCTCCAATACTTCCAGAAATGGTGAGAGAGCAACAACACTTAGAAGACCCCTGAGGGTGCACTTCTGCAATGCCCTCTGTGAGAGGAAGGCAGGCAAAAAAATGTCCATATCAACGGATGCTGACAAGGAGAAATTTCCACAGACCAAATTTGAAAATGCACTTCGCAACAAAGTTTCTGAGGATAATTTGAGAGTGATGATTACACTAACTGACAATGGTTGGAAGTACTTCTGTCCCATTTGTGGGGGCACTTTTGACAGTGTAGTTGAACTGAGAATCCACTCCTGTAGTTCTCTGGAGGACTAAGTTCAATTGGGGGTGAATTTCTTTTAAAATTTAACTCTAAAATTCAAAATGTGGATCCCCAGTTGATACAAATTTGTATAGCATAAGTCTTAGTAGGGTTAGATGGAGTTGCAGATTGAAACACAAAACAATTGGGTATATCTGAGAAAGAAACAGCTCACCAGAATATGAAGCCCTTGATCTGTATTTAGTCAGCAAATCAATGAAGAAAATATCTGTACTTTGTTAACATCATTATACTGATAGATATTTTGTTAATTTTATCAGATGGCAAGTTTATAGGACCCAATGATAGCAAACATACGCTAAGGGTCAAACAAAGCCCTACCAAGTGTTTCTAGAGACTCTGTTAAATTTATCATCTGAATGTTCTCCATAAATTCAATAAAAATTATTTTAAAAACATTATAAGTTGCATGTGTGATTACAACTGGGTAAAAAATATTGAGTTTGGAAAAATGTTCAAATATTATAAACATGCTGTTTACATAGAAATTTTCATAATTTAAATAAAAACTAAAATTATAAAATAAATAATGTGATAGAAGTGAAATAATTTGAGATAGAAGTGAACAAATATTATATGGGCGCCATACAATGGTAATGTTTTCTTATCTTTTTAAAAAATATTTTATTTATTTTTAGAGAAAGGGGAAAGGAGGGAGAAAGAGAGGAAGGGAAACATCAATGTGTGGTTGCCTCTCACATCCCCTAATGGGGACCTGGTCTGCAACCCAGGCATGTGCCCTGACTGAGAATCGAACTGATGACCCTTTGGTTTTCAGGCTGGTGGTCAATCCACCAAGCCCCATCAGGCAGGGCTAATATTTTCTTAAATAGATTCTTCACCATTGCCTACCATTACCACAAAAATTTTACTCCCTTCCTTACATCTATGCACAAATAGACACACACATTTATTTATTTATTTTAAAATATATTTTATTGATTATGCCATTACAGTTATTCTATTTCTATCCTTCATTCCCCTCCACCCTGCACACCCCTCCCCCACCATTACCCCCCTTTAGTTTATGACCACATGTCTAGAGTTCTTTAGATTCTATATTTCCCATACTATTCTTGCCCTGCCCCCTATTTTCTACCTACCATCTACGCTATTTACTTTCTGTACCTTCTACCCCCTTCTCCTCCTCTCACTCCCCTGTTGCTAACCCTCCTTGAGATCTTCATTTCTATGGTTCACTCCTGATCTAGCTGTCCTCTTAGTTTGCTTTTGTTTTAGGTGTGGTTGTTAATAATTATGAGTTTGCTGTCCTTTCACTGTTCATGTTTCTTTAACTTCTTTTTCTTAGATAAGTCCCTTTAACATTTCATATAATAAGGGCTTGGTGATGATGAACTCCTTGAATTTGATCTTATCTGAGAAGCACTTTATCTGCCCTTCCATTCTAAATGAAAGCTTTGCTGGATAGATCAATCTTGGATATAGTAGACACACATATTTAAACGGGACCTTTTTAGACACACATATTTAAAAAGGTCTCTATCCTACTACTTCCAGCTCCAACTTTCATACCTGTTCTTTCATTTGATCTGCATAATCATAGAGACTACAGACAGACTTCATAACCTCATCTCCAAGTCAACTTACATTAATTGGTCATTCACTATGTGTGAAGCACTATGCCAGACTCATTGCATGTGTTCAACTTCAGAATTGTCTTGCATGTATGTATTTTTATGGTAAAATTAAATGCTAAAAAAGTTTTTTAAAAAATGAATCACTTTCCGCCCTGACTGGTGTAGCTCAGTGGATTGAGCACGGGCCTGGGAACCAAGCAACCACGGTTTGATTCCCAGTCAGGGCACATGCCTGGGTTGCAGGCCAGTTCCCAGCAGGGGACACACAAGAGGCAACCATACATTGATATTTCTCTCCCTCTCTCCTTCCCTTCCCCTCTAAAGATAAATAAAATTTTTAAAAAATGAATCACTTTCCTAGGTTGCCCATGTAGAAAGTGTGTACTATTGTTATCATATAATAAGATAATATAACTGGAACTTACTTTAATAAGAGGTTTGTTATTATTTATTAATAGGCACAATATTATTAATATTGTGCCTTATTTAATAAGTATGTATGTGTAAAATCTTTGTCTAATCCATAGGTGTACTGTATTAAATAAACTCTAAGCTCTCATGAAGCAGAGGATACTTAGGCTGTATCCTAACCAAGTATCTAAGAAAGGTCTTTTTTTTTCATCTGGAGGCAAATCCTAGATGCAATTATTCAATATCAATAATGAATCAGAGTAAACAATTAAACTGAGACAATTCAGGCAACCAAATCAAATGTTTCTCCCTGTTTAAAAATGCATGCCATTTGAATTTGTCATCTTGTGAAAGCATGAGACATAAAACTCATTTTTACAAAAACATAAGTCATGAGGTAGATATCAATAAAAGTAAAATAAAATTATTTTGTTCTTCATCTTTTCTGAGGATAAAATTAAAATAATTAGATTTAAAAAGTTCATTTCATTCCTGTCAGGTTACCATTTATAGAGTCCACATTTTAAGTGCAAATCTTTGAAAATTCACAAACTCAACATCACACAGGTTTATCTATTTTTCTCAAAGATACAAGAACAAACATAAATATTATTTCTTTAATGTTCATATTAGTAATTTTTAAAATTTCTTCACAAAATATTATACTTTAAAATATGGGCACAGGATAATACCTTTATTTCCTATGTACACGGTAACTAGCATCTGTAATAATAAATTACATTAACATTACCAAGACCAGCAAATTATCTATTCAACAAAGAATATAATACATTTTTATATCTAATTAAAGACCCCTGAAGATGGCAGCCTTTTACCATTGTAATGTTCTCAAATTTTGAATAATTAGAATGTAAGACTATGTTCTTAGATTTTTAAAAATTATCTTTTATCGATTAACCTATTACAGTTTTCCTGATTTTTCTCCCTTTGCCCGCCTCTATCCATCACCCCCCACTCCCTCAGGCAATCCCTCACACCACTGTTCATGTCCATGGGACTTGTGTGTAAGTTCTTTGGCTACTCTACTTCCTATCCTGTACTTCACATGGCTATTCTGTAACTACCTATTTGTACTTCTTAATCCCTTCACCTCCTCACCCATTCCCCCATTATTTATTTCAAAAAAATATGTCTGATAACAAAGTTTCTATTTGCAACTTATTATTTATCGGTTATTTGGATATTGGATATCTCTTTGTAAGTTATGTTTTAGAACAACTTAATCAGAAAAAAATTCAAGTTTTTGAAAGATTCAAACTGTATTATATGGATGCTGATAATTTTATTCTAATTTAGGCAAGAACTTTAAACAAAAAGCAAGTAAGATATTAAGAGGAATCTTCTAAAATTGAAACACTGAATTATCAAATAATACTTGACTCCATTTATACTTTTGACGTGCATATTTAGTGTTTAATACCACTTGCTTTACATAGAAACTTTCTGATCTGACTCAGTCAATAGAAATAAAGGGGCTAAGACTAGAGGTATGTCTGATGATGTTTATGATTCTAATGATATGGCCCGAGGGACAGGAAGGAGGACATTAACTTAACTTTGATTTAAACCTGTAAATATTGAACTTTTCTAAGATGAAATATAGTTTATGTTAATGGATTTTTAAAGAGAAAATTGGCCCTGATCCTATGTCTCATGAAGAGGCACTGACTGCTTTCCTTCATAAATTTTCACAGATGTCTGTTTAGCAAAAATACCTTGGACACTAAAGACAGTGTCTCCATCCAAAGCAGAGGGTATATTATATTTCATTCTTAACTAGGGTAATAAACATAATGTCTTCCTCAAAGGCAAACTTTGGACAAGTTTCCAACCAGCCTTCTTATAAGACTGGGAGTTTCCTGAATTCAAGATTCCTCAATTATGACCCAAACCCCCTGCATACATAATATCTATGTCTCACAATTTGTATCAGTCTTGTGTGACTGGGAAGGCAATGTTAAAAATGTGAATATAAAACTCATGCTGCCTTGGTTGGTGTTGCTCAGTGGATTGAGCATGGCCTACAGACCAGTGGGTCACCAGTTCAATTCCCAGTCAGGGCACACTCCTGAGTTGTGGGCCAGGTCCCCAGTTGGGGGTGTGCGAGAGGCAACCACACATTGATGTTTCTCTCCCTCTCTTTCTCCCTCCCTCCCCTCTCTCTAAAAATAAATAAATAAATAAAATCTTTTAAAAAAATAAAGCTGATGCTTCCCACTTTGTCATGAATAATAAAGTGCTTTGTGTATGACCCAGGAGTTTCATGTCTTTTGTCAGCATCTATAGAACTATGTCAGGTTAACTTCACAGCTTTAAAGCAGAGTAATATCTCCAATTATTCACAGTTCTTCATGTTTGAAAGAAAGCTGAGAGAATAACAAAGTTATAACTTATTAACTTGTTAAGGAGTTTTGTTATTCTTTTTAAATATTTTATTTTTAAAAAGATTTTATGTATCCATCTTTAGACAGAGGGGAAGGGAGACAGAAAGAGAGGGAGAGAAACATGAATGTGTGGTTGCACTCATGGGCTCCCTACTGGGGACCTGGTCCACAACCCAGGCATGTGTCCTGACTGGGAATTGACCCTTTGGTTCACAGCTCGGCACTCAATGCACTGAGCTACACCAGCCAGGGCAAGTTTTGTTATTTTTAATAAGGGGTGCCTTCTATTACTTCAGTAGACTCACAACACAACATCATTGAGAGTTTAATACAGTTAACTGGCATAAAGTATTTGTATACATGTGTGAATGCACAGAGCTTAATGAAAGTAGTATTGAGATAATTTAAGAATTTATTATTTTGATCTTTACCAAACAAACACTTTTATTTATGTAAGTTACATATCTGTTACTACTTCTCAGTCTGTGCTTATAGAATCCAAATGACTTAACCTTTAAATGTTCAATAAATGAAATGTTATAAAACTTAACTTTATCTGCATATTCTGCTTAATATACA